GCTGCTGCTGCTGCTTGGATGGGCTGTCTTCAGCTCCTGGGGGGTAGCAAACGTTGCCAATAAATGTAAAGTACCTTCCCTGCAGCAAATGCCTACAGCAAACTTCTCTGCTTTTGTCTGTCTGCTTTGCCTGCAACAGAAGGTGATTCCAGTGATGATGAGTTTGTAAGTGCAAAACAAAAAAGTTTTCACTGTCTAAGGGAGGTTTCTGCACACCAGAAGCCAGGTTAAAAGTTGGAAAGGCATCTAATGAAACTGCAGTTCAGAAAACTCCACAGGTCAGAAACTGCCTTGCCAAACCAGAGAATTGCCCTCTAAAGTGAGAAGCGACCTGAGCCCTGGCTGGGAACTGCTGCCATTGTTTCTCTGGCCAGAGAAGCGAAGAGGACAGAAGATCTGGTGTGAACCGGCAGTGCGTAGCAGATGAAAACCTTAAACGGGTGGTTTATGATCTGTGGTATGAAGAATAGCACCTGTGTCAGTTGTATGCTGCCTGTAGAGCGGTAAGGAAGTAGTTACGTACCAAGGGAAGTTTGGAGTAGAGCAGGGAGAGGTAGGTTGTGGTTTTGAATGGAGGTGGCTTCTGAGCACTTGTAACAAGGTTGTAAGCAGCTAGAAGCGCGGCTCAGCTGCCAGCTGTCGTTGTATTGTAAGTGAAGAGATGCCACAGGCACTCCGTGGAGAGGAGGGTCTCTGGGTTGGGTGACTGCTGAGGTTACTACCCTGGGTGGGCTTCCTGTGCTGGCAGGGGAGAGCAGTCAGCTGGTAGTGACTGGTGTGACTCAGCTGACAGTATAGGTTCCTGCTGCTTGTTGGGAGGAACTGTGCCCCAAGCTCTGTAAGCGATAAAGAAGGACAACACCGATAACCTCTATATAATTAGTCTGATCTTGGTGACGTGAATTTCACAGTAGTGATTGCATTTCAGTTTGCAAATACTGCCTGTTTGTTTTTTTCAGGAACCTTATAGCATAAGCAAAGCAGTGCATTTAAGACTAATCAAAGCTCCCTTTTTTTCTGTAGCTTGTAGAACGAGAGCCACTTGTATGTCACCTAGACCTACTAGAACCACTTCCTGCTGCCCCAGAAGAGCTTCCTGATGAGTTTTTTGAAGTTACAGTGGATGATGTACGGAAGCGTTTGGCACAGCTGCGGAGCGAGAGGCAAGTTCCCTTTCTGCTGAAATCACTCCGTACCCTTTTGTCGAGCAGAGTGACACTGTGCACCTAGAGCTGGTTGTGATCTCTGGTTAAAGCGCTCTGGATAAGTTAGTGGGTGTGGAATTAATGATTTAATGATCAGCACTGGAAATCTCTGCCCCTTATTCCATACGAGTTCAAGGGCTATGCCCTGATTCTACAGCAGAAACTGTGTTTTGTGTTAATTGGTCAGGCATTTGTGCGTGGCGTCATGGTTTCATGTGGATGTTGACAATTTCATCATGAGGTATCTGCAGTGCCAACGTGGTGGAAAGTTTTATCTGGGAACCTCAGCCTAGTCAGGGATGTGCCCTCACTAAGAAAGGACTAAAAGAAAGATTCCTTCCTGTGTCCTGCATTTGAGGGAGTTATTCAAAGCCTCTCTTTCTTTCTTTCTCTCTTCTGAAGGAGAAGCCACTGCCTTTGTGATTAGATGTGCTTTTATTTGCCAGAGCCCCAAAGGAGCGATGAGCTCCTGTGATCTGTTTTGATCTGACTTCACATTAACTATTAAATGGAGGGAGTTTGTAACTTGTGATATATGAACACAATGATCCAGCCTCCTAAGAATAACTCCTGCTGCCTTCACTAAGTAGGTAGTAGCATTTTCAGCCTTGTGTATTAAATAACGGAGTTAACCTTTTATTAGACGTTGTCAGAAAAGACTAACTTTAATACGTGACGCAAATGGAAATAAAGCAAAATCAAACTTAGGCAGAAATCTAGATGTGAGAATGTTTGGAACACACACAAAGCAGGAAGAAGTATGAGAAGTTGGACTAACTATGCATCTCACAGTTCAAGTAGCTTGCTTTCAATTATTTGTGATTTTACTGTACTCTTCCTCCAATTCTGGACTAAAAACTCAGATTACGATACACTAGCCTCCCTATCACAACAGCAATATGCTGTTTTATATGTTCCTTAAAGAAATGAATTTCATAAATATATTTCATTTCCAGTGGATCGTACCATTCCTTTAAACATTACAAGAATTCTCCAAGACTGTGGGATGGCCAATTTTACGCTGTAACCAAGTCTGAGTTGAACTTTCTACTTAGAGCTGATTTTTTTTCCCCACAGGCTGCTGAAATCCACATGAGTACAGACTGGCCTGAAAATTACTCTGCTGCTTGTGGGTCTGGAGTATTTAGTGGTAGAAATGTAGGATCATTTGGTTGGGGGTTACTGGATTACAGCCCCCTCAAAAAAAGACCCAATTTTCAAATTTGCTGATGCTTGTAATCCCTTTTTCCCTCATAACCAGGGATAAAAATAAAAGAAAGTTACACATGAAACTGATAGAAGTTGCCTTCAGATCTCAGCTGGTGAACCTTAACAAAAGCTAGCTGCACACAAAGCAACATTTTAAATGCAATTAGAATTTAATTTGGACTTCATGAAGAGCTGAGAATTGGTATGACTCAGCACTTGGTACACAGAGAAGGAACAGAGTATGTTAGTTTCATGCTTGATTTTCATATCGTGAGTTCAGAGCATCTTGGAATGTGGTGTACTGGCTGGCAGCTCTGGGTACAGTTGGTGAAGTAAGCCTGCAGTTGTTTTGTTCAGCAGCTGTTCCTGATACCCTGATGATTCTTAAAAAAAAAAAAAAAGAGAGATCCTTCAAGCTGTATAGGTGCAAGAGATTATACTTGCAAGTAGTTGCGCAGAATTACATGATCAAGTGCTGCACCAGCATCTATCCTAGTAAATCGGTTATTCATAGTTGAGTGCAAACAAGGAAGACAGACTGAAGCGGAACATGGGATCTGTTGGATCTAAGCTTGTTTCTTACAGGAGAATATAGAATTTTCTTGAATTTAGTATTTCGTCTTAAATACGGGTAGTTTCGGGTTGGTTGTGTTGCACCCACTACCCCTTTTAGAACACCGGTCTGCAATGTTAGCTCTTGAATGATCGAAACTTCTCTGTTTTGTTTCCCTGTTGCTAATTAATCTCCATTAATTTCTTTTGCTGGCATTGTTTTTCAGCTTCAGTAGCTCTTCTCCTTCCCTGGAGTAATCATGTCCACCTTTAGTCTCTGTTTTATTAGATTAATAAATCTTTCTCTTCTTTAGTAGTTCAGGCAAACATTCCCTCGCTCTTAGTATCTTTTTTGGACATCTGCTGTAGTGAACTTATTTTTAAACTTTTACGGGAAAAGTGATTTTGTGCAGTGTTGTTGCTGATGCTCAGTAGTTCCATATATGAGATTTTGGGTAGGAACCACAGGAGGTGGGGAAAATGCTGTGAGGGATGCATGGAACAGTTGAGCCCTTCCCATCAGCCCTGATTGGACCTTTTGCCTTCTTAATAAAATCAAGCTACATCTTGAAATTACAGAAGTGACAGCTTGTCTTCCTCCCACGCATCTAGGAAACGCCTGGAAGAAGCTCCGCTGATGACAAAATCTTTGAGGGCGGCTCAGCTGAAGGAAAAGTTAGAGCGTTACCCAAAGGTAGCCTTTGTTATTTTTCCAGTCCCTCTGGCTAGTCCTGATTTGGGGTTGGGTAACTTTGGGAATCAGTTGTGATCGAGAGGGTCTTGAAGACTTCAAATTCCTGTCCCAGTTAATTGTTTGTGGGAGTTGCGTAAAAGTTGTACCGTGTAAAATCCGCTGTCCTGTGATGGTATGGTTGAGTGGCAGGCTGTATAGCTCCTTTTAGTTTGTTCTCGTTTTGAAACCCTTATGTTGGGCATGTATCAGTCTCTTTAAGCGAGTTTTCCTATCTGCCTCTCCGCTGTAGGCTCTCAGATTTTGATAGTATCTCATTACAATTTAAATTTTAAGATGTTACAGACTGGAGATACCTACTCTGTAAATATATGATCCTAATGCAATTTTTTACTTTGGTGATTTACTGCAAAATAAAAAAGAGAGTAAGTTCCCAAGTTAGGTGCTTCCTGACCAGTGCTGGAAATGGAACGGTACAAGTTACCTCGTGTGTGTG